GGGCAGCCGGCTGGGGCGGGCGCGTGCTGGGCACAACTCGGGAGCCTCTGCCAGGCTGCAGAGACCCCGGCTGTGCCCGGGACCTGGGAGCCGGGATGCTGCAGCCGTGCCAGGGACTCTCCTTGCCTGGGGTTTGCACGGCGCCGGGAGGCGGCGGAGCGGAGCGGAGCGGAGCGGGGCTGGGCGGGTAAGGGAGGCGGGCGCCGTGCTTGTGCTCTCCCTGAATCCTCCCGAGGCCCCGGCGGAGCAGAGGCTGCGCCAGTGCCCGGCAGAGAAGCCAGGTCCTCGCCGCCCGGGCACCTGGGGACACGCGGACCGGGAGGGGTGGGGGCAGCTCAGCCTGTTGCCTCTTGCCCGCTCTCCGAGTTGTCTGGAAACAAAGCCGGCGGCTCGGTGCCGCGCCAGGCAGGTGGCTGCGGGCCGGGGGGCGGCACGGCCAGTCGTGCTGCCCGGGGGATGGCGGCACCGGTGCCCTTTGCAGGGCTCCAGCTGAGCTCGTGACTTGAGAAACCACAGCAGCGGGGGCAAGAAGTAGGGGAGCGGGGTCTTCCCTCCTCCTGCAGGACCTGGGCGCTTTTCCCAGCTGGCGAGCCGGCCCGGCCACGGGACTCCAGATTCCCAGGGCCTGCAAGGCCCCTCGGGAGCCCCGGCATCCTCCTCCGAGCCTGGGAACCGGCAAGGCAAGGGGTGGGCGGCTGCGGGGTCCTGCTCCGCTGCGCTCCAGCCCCGGGACACCCACCTCTCCCCTTTCCCTCCTAGCACTCGAGGCTCGCGGCACCCCGCGCCGAGCACCGGCGATGGCGGGCCCCCGGCGGCTGCTGCTGGGCATGGCCGGCCTCGCGCTGCTCCTCCCGGCTGCGGTCCAAACGCCGGATCCGGCCCCGTCGGGCTGCGGCAAGGAGCTGTCGCCGCTGTACCACGCTCTGTGCGACCTGTCGGCGCCCTGGGGCGTGGCGGTGGAAGCCGTGGCCAGCCTGGGCATCGTGACCAGCTTCGTGCTCGCCATCGTGCTGGTGGCCAGCCTGCCCTTCGCCCAGGACCCCCGCAAGCGGAGCCTGGTGGGCACCCAGGTCTTCTTCCTGCTGGGCACCCTCGGGCTCTTCTGCCTGGCCTTCGCCTTCGTGGTCGGCCGGGATTTCTCCACCTGCGCCGCCCGGCGCTTCCTCTTCGGCGTGCTCTTCGCCGCCTGCTTCTCCTGCCTGCTGGCTCACGCGCTCAGCCTCAACCTGCTGGCACGGCGCAACCGGGCGCCGCGGGGCTGGGCCACCTTCACGGTGGCCGCGGCGCTGGCGGCCGTGGAGGCCATCATCAACGCCGAGTGGCTGCTGATCACGGTGGTGAGGAACGGGGGTGCCGCCCCGGACCCCTGCGCCATGGCGAACGAGGACTTCGTGCTGGCGCTGCTCTACGTCATGCTGCTGCTGCTGGCCGCCTTCGTGGTGGCCTGGCCCCCGCTGTGCGGCCGCCACGCGCACTGGAGGAAGCACGCGGTCTTCATCCTCCTCACCGCCGCCCTCTCGGCAGCCATCTGGGTGGTCTGGATCATCATGTACGTCTACGGCAACCGGCAGCGCGGCACGCCGGGCTGGGACGACCCCACGCTGGCCGTCGCCCTGGTCGCCAACGCCGGCGTCTTCCTCCTGCTCTACGCCATCCCCGAGGTGACGCACGTGACACGCCCGGGCCCCGAGCAGACCTACGAGGACGACGGGTACCCGACGCGGGGCGTGGGCTACGAGACCATCCTCAAGGAGCACAAGGCTCAGAGCATGTTTGTGGAGAACAAGGCTTTCTCCATGGACGAGCCCGCCTCAGGTAGGAGCCGAGGGGCTGGGGGCAGCGCGCCGCTGGGGTCGGTGCTGCCGGGCCGGAGACGCTCTTCGCCCCAGGCCTGCGGCCGAGGCCTCCCACCGTGCCCCAGGAGGAGGTTTTGCCGGTGCTGCTCCTAGCAGCGCCCGTGGCCTGCGCCAGGTCCCCCAGCGTGCCCGCACCTTCCTCCAGCCCAGTGCAGACGCCTGCGCGGGTGGCGGAGCCGGCCTCGCCGCTGCCAGGGGAGACGAAGCCCGCGGGGAGGACGAGTGGGGCTGCGGGAAGGTCCCCAGCTGCTGCTGGATGAGTCAGCTCGTTAGAGCCTGTTTGCTTTGTTGGGCAATTAACAGCGCCTGCTGTGGGGGTGCAGCCAAAGCCAGGGAGAGGCTGGGCCAGGGGCTGCTGCAAGGGCAGAGACGCCCTTGGTTTGGCCCAGCCTGCAGCCCCGAGGGGTCTCGCGGGGCAGGGTCTGTGGGCGGCAAAGCGCCAGTCTGCCCTGTGGCTGGGCGTTCGCCCGCTGCGTTGATCCAAGCGTGGCGCTGGCTCCTGACCCTCAGGCGTGCCGCGAGCCACGCTCAGCGCCGCGTCTTCTCTCTGCAGCCAAGAAGCCCGTGTCCCCATACAGCGGGTACAACGGGCAGCTCCTGACAAGCGTGTACCAGCCCACCGAGATGGCTCTGATGCACAAGGGGCCGGTGAGTGAATCCCACTCCGGGGCGGGTGGGGGTTTCTGGTGTGATGGATGCGCGGCAGGATGTTGTGGGCATGGGGGTCTCTGCTCCGTCCCGTGCTCACCGCCCGCCTCTGTCCCGGCGGCAGCCCGAGAGCCCCTACGATGTCATCCTGCCCCGTGCCACGGCCAACAGCCTGGCCATGGGCAGCGCCAACTCCACCCTGCGTGCCGAGGACGTCTACGCCGCCCAGGCCCGGCAGGCCGCGGGCCCCAAGGACGGCAGGGGCCAGCAGGTCCGTGACAATGGGGTGGGAGGCCAGGAGCCGGGCACTTCTGGCTCTGATCTGTGACCCCTGTCCTGACCTCTCTCCCTGTGCCTCAGACGCAGTCCCCGTACGGCAAGAGCAGGTGGTAGCGGCCCGCGCCCCGAATCCTGCAGTGCCGCCCGCCCCGTGCCTCTGCGGAGGGGCCACCGAGCCACGCCTTCCCCCTTGCCCCCCGCAGCCACGCCAGGGGTCAACGCTGGAGTGCCCGGCAGGCCTGAAACCGAGACAAAGCCAGCCCGGGGGGCGCCCGGAGATCGACGTACCCCCGCCAGCCCGGCGCCCGTCCCTGCGGAGGCTGCCCAGAGCCCATCCTGGACACGGACGGCCTTTCCACCGGTCTCACCCCGGGTCAGCGACTTCTGTAGACTGCTCTGCTGGGCATCTGGACCCCAGCAACTGCCCCTGAGCCCCCCCCCCAGCAGGGACCCGTGGGCTCAAGGGCAGAGCTGCTCCTAGGAAGGACTCCAGGATCTGCCGGTGCCTTCGCGGGGCTGAGCTGGGGGCCGCCCGGGCAGCCCTCCCCCCTCTGTCCTAGGACCCGCTGGGTCCCCCCGACTCCCCTGTGCCAAGCCCCATGCCATGCTGAGGCAGGCACGAGGCAGCATCCTTAATCAGGCCTAGGAGCCCCGCCACCGCCCGCTGCCTTCTGTGCCTCAGTTTCCCCCTCTTGCCAAGCGGAGCGAACAGCACCGAGCTCCCCGTCCCAGCTCACTCCCCGCCAAGGGAGAGAAAGCACCGTCCTAGTGCAAGGAGGCCGAGATGGCCCCTGCCCCACACAGCCCCGCAGCCTTTCTCTGCGGTCGCAGCGTTCAGTGCCTTCCTGCCGGGGCTCCTCCTGTCCCGGCAATTTGATTTTTTTAAGCTGTATCTGCAAGCACGTCTGTCCCCAGGGCAGCCCCCACCCCTGTCCAGCTCCGATGCCCTGGGTCGTCCACGTGTGTGCACATCACAGGCATGTGAAGGGCCACAGGGACAAGCGGACACTGGGGTGGGGGCTGTTATCTCCTCCCTGCGGGGGACTTTGGGCTTTCTCTCTTTTTTTAGGGCAGACTCCATGCGTAATAAAGCAGCCGGGTTTTTTCCTTTGCGGCTCTGTGTCTTCCCTGCCTGTTCGGGGAGCGCTGCGAGCTGGGCATGGAGCAGACAGGCCACCCCTCTCCCGGGGTTATTGGGGACCGGCTGCAAACCCCATCAAGCTTCCTGCCCCCTGGTAGGGTGACACTACCTGGCCATCCCTTCCCAGCCTCTGCCCTGCTGCCCCCAGAGCCAGGCGCCATCTGATCCCAGCCCTCTGCTTCTTTTTGGGGGGCTCTTAAGGCTCCTCCGTCCCTCCAGCCTCTTCCCCTCCCCCGCCCCAAGGCTCTGCCTGGTGCGGTCAGCCCGGCCGAGACCCATCGGTTCTGGGTCTGGAGGGACGGACGGGCTGAGACGTAGCAAACTCGCTGCATTCGGCCCCCCGAGCGCTTGCAGAGCCAGCAGCCTGGGCCCTGTGAGGCTGCGGGGCAAAGAGACGCCAAGGTCGGGCACCGTCTCTGCCCGGATTGTCTTTCCCCCTCTGCAGTGATTGTTTTTTTTTCTTCTTTTTCCCCTGCCAGGCAGGAAGCCTGTGGCCGGCGCCATGAATTATTGAGTGCCTCCAGCTCCGGCGCGGGAGCCAGGTGACCTCTTCCTCCTTGAGAGCAGAGGGAGGGGGTGTGGGGGCTGCGCCAGCCCCAGAGACGGGGTGTCTGCCCCTGGGCTCGGAGGGGAGCCTGGGGCCCCGCTCCCTGGGGCTGGGGGCTGGACGCCTGGGTCCTTCCCTTGTTCTTTGCCGGTTCCTGTTTCCCAGGCTCTCAGTGGGTTCGGCTACCAGGCCCGGACGGGAGTGATTTCCCTGCAAGCCAGCTGCTCTCTGCCCTAGGGTTACTGAGTAACCTGCCGGGGAGCTGGCACCAAGGAGATAAGAGCTGGGAACTGGAGCAAGCAGGGCTGGGCCAGGCAGAGATCAGTCTGCATCAGGCAGGTGCCAGGATCGGGGCCACTGGGGGCAGCCGTGTTGGTCCGCCCCATGCTGCCAGCTCGTTGCCCCTTTGGGGCTCATCCCCCATGCCTGATTCTCAGGGCACCAAGGCCTGGAGAGCCCTGGCTGCCCTGACATCTGCTCAGCCCCCCAGGTGCTACCTTGATCCAAAGGGGCCAAAGTCCAGCCCGGCTGGGATGTGCACCCCGTGCCAGGCTGGGCATCACCACCTTATCTCCTGTGCGCGTGGGAACAGGCTGCCCCGGGGGATCTGCCCTGCCCCTGCTTGCAGTCGTCTCCCCCATGCCTCCCAGCCTGGCAGGAGCTGCGCGGCCGCGAGCGGCTTCCTGGACGCCTCGTGACGCCAAGTCCAGTAGCTCAGCCCCGCTGCTCTGGGGTCAGGGGGAAACGGTGAGCCGTTAACAGCCGAGTAGCCAGGCGGGACCTGCCTGCTCCGGTTCCCAAGGACACGGCCACTGCCCCCGAGCGCGGCGCTGGCCCTGGGCCCTGCCAGGCGCGCCGTATCCAGGCAATAGCCCCGTGTCTAATCTCCTTGGGCTTCGTAAACAAGCGGCTGCCCTTTCGCTCGGCTGAGCGTGGGCACGGGAGGGGAGGGGGGTCTCGGCCCAGCAGCTGCCCGGGGTTTGTGGTGCTGTGGCCCCGCAGGGCAGGAGCCCAGGATCTGGAGCCACACGTGGGCCACGCTAGCTCACCATGCCATCCAGCACGTGGCGCTGCCCAGGGGCAGGGCAACCATGCTGTGGTGCAAGCTGCACCACAGGAGTTGCAAGGCAGTGTGAGTAGCCAGGGCACAGTGCCAACGGGGGCAGGCTGGGGTGGGTTCCAGCTCCTCGTGCTCCCACCTGCCGGGGCAGAGTATCCCCTGGCCTGGTCCAGTGCCCGTGCATTGCCCTGCTTGCCCTTGGGCCCTGGGCACTTCCAGCATCTCCCCTGGGTGTGGGCACGAGTGACGTGGCTCCCCTCCCTCCTGGCAGCCCAAGGTCTCCGGCTGCTCCTGCAGCTGCTGCAGGGGAGCTGCCAGCCTGGCCTGCGCCTGAGGGAAAGGGACTGGGTGTGGAGCTGTGTCCCCTGCCCAGCTGGGCACAGCCCTCCACGACCACAACCTGGAGTTGGGCCTTGGGGTGTGAGGGACGCCAGCCTGCCCCATGGCTCCCAGCCCTTCCCTGCCTCTCAGGCCAGGCCGGAGCAGTGCTCCAGCCAGGCAAAGCAGGGCAGGGCTGGGCACTGGCCGCCAACAGGAGCTCTTTGTGCAAGCCCGGTGCTCGCTCAGCATGGTGGCGGGGCCGGCTGAACAGCACTGCCTTTGTCCTCGGCAGCAGGTGAAGCAAAGCGGCTTCCCCAGGCTCCCCC